TATTTAACTATATTGAAACGAGAGAAGCAATCGCTCGCCCCTGCCTTGAGACACGCCCTGCCCTGACCCTGACTCTACGAGGGTACTGACTGACCACAATTTTGTTCTGGTGGGGCCCACTCCAATTTCCCATGACCCACATGTACTTCCCTTGGATATACGGCCCCCCCGTTTCTTTGACCTGACAGATCTCCCATTCATTATTTCATTTTCCTTGCCGTATTCTTCCTTTCTTTGAATTCTTTTCTCGTCTCCTCCCTCTCTCTCTCTGATGAGCTATAGGATCTCGATGTAACGCTCGATTACCAGAAAAACTACCATTGAACAGTTCAGTTTCTGCCATTTTCCAACCAGAAATAATGCCTTTTCATGACTTCGGTTACTGATGTTGATCATGAGAAAGAATCGGCAGTTTTTGATCAGTCATCAAAAAGCGTTAAAACTCACATATGGATATCAATTGATAATATAAGGGCTTAAGTCAAATTTAAATATATATCTAATAATTTCAAAAATCTTGACTCTTAAACTAGCTAATTAGGCTCTCTCATACCTTCAAATTACTACTGCATATGTGTTTTGATCATCTGCATGTTGATTTAAGAGCACCAAACAGTAACATATATGTGTGCCTTTTCTCCTTCAATTCCAACATCTACGTAAAGGATGTACTAATAAGGTCAGCATAGTAAGAAGAAAGAGTTTTTTTTTTTTTCACAGCAAAATAATTCATTATATAGAGTACAAGGGGTAGTAAGAAGAAAGAGTTGATATATGTATATAAGGTTTGTTTAACTAGTACAGATTAAATTTTATTAATTATAAAATTTGTAATAAATTTTATATAAATTTTTTATTAAATTATTTTTTAATAAAATTTAAATATAAATATTTTATTTTAATTAAATTTGATATAAAAAATTATATAAATTTAATTAAATATATTATTTTAATGAAAAGATATAAATTAAAAAATTCATATATATATATATACATATTCAGCAGATAGCCAATGGAGTGAAAGGATCTTAAAGTCCACCAGGCTTTAAGTTTTTCTCTTATTTTTTATTTTTTTATGCTAATTATATAATAAGAAGTAATTTTTTTTTTATTTTTTATCGTACTTTCACTTTTACTTGCATGTTATACGATTTAAAATTAAAATTTTTTACTTTCAACAAAAAAATATTACTACCACGTTATTTAGATCATTAATAAAAGGTTAAACTCTCATTTTGGTCTCTCAACTATTGTACGGACCCTTAATTTAGTCTTTCAACTCAAAAAATCTCTGATTTAGTCCTTACTATTTACCATTTTAATCCCAACTTGATCCTTCCGTTAAAATTCCACCTACGTGTCCCCTTACTTGACAGAGAGAAACATGACACAATAAAATTTTTTTGACACATAGGATCAACAGCCTGGCAAAAACAATGATATGGCAAAAATAATTAAAAAATTCCTTTTTCTTTTTTTTCTTTCTTCCTTTGTTTTTCCTTTTTCCCTTTCTTTTTCCTCTTCCTTTCCTTTCACTTTCTGCAAACCCTAAAACCTTCTAAACCCAACATGCCTGGGTTTGATTGAACCCAGCACAAACTAGATTCGATTGAACCCAGCACACACTAGATTCGATTGAACCCAACACACTTGGGTTTGGAAAGAACCCAGATCTGGGTTGCACTTTCCGTTTTAAATTCAAATTAAAGTAAAAAAAAATCAAAGAAATACCCAAATTTATTTGATTCCAAAATTTAATGCTTTCCAATTCTGCAAAATCAAATAAGTACCTAGAATAAATACCTAGATTTGCAATTCCAATTCTTATCATTCAAATTTTAATGCTTTCATACCTAAGGTTGCAGCAATCAAGATTTGAAAAATAAAACCTAAATACAAATGTGGATGTAGAAGGAACTTAGATTTGGATTACCTCTTAGATTTGGATTTCCTCGCACCCAAAATCGACCTTCTCCTTCACATGATATTCACATAACAAAGGGAACCCAGCAAGTAGTTTAAACCCCCATTAAATGCCCTCTCAAACCTTCTAAAAAACCCAGAAAAATCAAGGTATCTTCAATCAAACCCAACAACAGTTCTTCAATCGAATCTAGCAGTCTTCAATCAAACCTAGCAAGGGTACATCAATCAAACCCAACATTCTTTAATCAAACCCATCAAGGGTTCTTCAATCGAACCTAACAGTGCCTGTTGGGTTCCATCAATGAACCTAGCAAGCACTCTTGGGTTCGATCGATGAACCTAGCATAAACCCAGTGGCACATGCTAGGTTCATAGATCGAACCCAAGAGTTTGATGAACCCAGCAGCGCCATTGGGTTCATTGATCGAACCCAGTGACGTTGCTGGGTTCTTGCTCCTAGGTTCAATCGATGAACCCAGTGGCATATGCTGGGTTCATAGATCGAACCCAAGAGTTTGATGAACCCAACGACGCCATTGGGTTCATCGATCGAACCCAGGAGCACCTGCTGGGTTCATTGATCGAACCCAGCGACGTTGCTGGGTTCTTACTAGGTTCAATCGATGAAACCAAACAAGTGCTCCTGGGTTCAATCGATGAACCCAACAGGCACCGTTGGGTTCATTGATCGAACCCAACAAGTATCGTGCTGCTAGGTTTTTACAGGGTTCATCGATCGAACCCAGTAGGCATCAATCAAACCTAAAGCCCCTAAGGCCAACAAACTTGGGGAAAGAAGATGAATGCTAGAGATGAAAATGAAGGGGTAACGAAAAGAAAATGGAAAGAAAGTGATGAGTGGTTGAAGACGAAGGTAAAAAAGTAATTTTAGTTTTACAATTAATTTTAGATATTTAAATTTTTATTGAAAATTATGTGTAAGTTTTATATGCCATGCTGTCAATCCTACATGTCAAAATATTTTTACATGTCATCATTTTTCGTCAACTAACGGAACACGTAGGTGGAATTTTAACAGAGAGACCAAGTTAGGGTTAAAATGGTAAACAATAGGGACTAAGTCAGAAATGTTTTGAATTAAGGGATGGAGGGTCGTACAATAATTGAGGGACCAAAATGGAGATTTAACCTTAATAAAATTTAAACTTTTGATTATGTAAAATTAAGAGCGAGAAAGAAAAAGCATGGTTTTGTGGGCCCAATAATGTGAGAGATTGAATGAAGGAGAGAGAAAGAGTGGGGCCTACACACCGCCCATGCGCACGCTGTCTTACCAAAACTAAACCCATCATCGATCCGATACCTCTTGACCTAACCCTAACCCAACAACACTATATCCCAAATCACACTGACCCAAAACTCCATTACCCTCTTCCCCCCCTTTCTTCTTCATTTCTTCCCAAACCCTTAACCATAAATTCATCTTCATATTTAGCACAAACACATATATCACCTTAAAATTCTTTCTTTCTCTAATTGATTTAGCCCTTCCATCTTATGATTCTCTTTCCGATACTAAAAACCCTTGTTTTCTTTTTTGTGCCCTTTGTAGTGGTAGATATTAGCATCTGATGATCCATCAAAGGAAGATGGAAGCATCGAGAAGAAAGTAGGTTAGCTGGTTCTTGTGTGTATGAGTTGAAATATATATTATCAATTAGGAATTAAGAAGATCGAGAAGGAATAAAAATGGATCCGGTGACAGCTCATGGTCGCCCTCTTCCACCTCCTTTTCTCACCAGAGATCTTCACCTGAATCCACACCACCATCAGTTTCAGCACCACCAACAGCAAAACTCTGAAGGTGAACAGAACCCTGGTCAGAAACGAGATCGAGATGAAGCCACCACCACAACTGCGGCCACCTCTGATACTGATGGAAAAGAACTGGCTATAGCTTCGGGAGAAGGAGAAATGACGAGACGGCCCCGAGGCCGACCAGCAGGCTCCAAGAACAAGCCCAAGCCACCTATCATCATCACACGGGACAGCGCCAATGCCCTCCGATCCCATGTGATAGAAATAGCCAACGGCTGTGATATCATGGAGAGTGTATCCACTTTTGCACGGCGGAGACAGAGAGGGGTTTGTATCTTGAGCGGGACTGGAACGGTGACAAACGTAACTTTAAGACAACCGGCAGCACCTGGTGCAGTCGTGACCTTACATGGAAGATTCGAAATTCTATCGCTGTCTGGGTCATTCTTGCCTCCCCCGGTACCACCGGCTGCATCCTCATTGACCATATATCTAGCCGGGGGTCAAGGTCAAGTAGTTGGTGGAGGCGTGGTTGGGCCGCTTCTAGCGTGTGGTCCGGTGGTGATTATGGCAGCTTCTTTTGGTAATGCGGCTTATGAGAGGCTCCCGTTGGAGGAAGAGGAGGAGGAGCAAACCGCAGCCCAAATGGAAGGAAGTGGACCGCTAGGATCCCCAGGTATCCCCGGCCAACAGCAGCAACAACAACTAATGCAAGATCCCAATGCATCTTTCGCTCAAGGATTACCACCTAATCTTCTAAACTCAGTGCAGTTACCCACAGAGGCCTATTGGGGCACAGCTCGCCCTCCTTTTTAACAGAATTGTATTTCTTCTCCCTTATCTTTCCTCTTGTTGTTTTCAACTTTTTTAACTTCTTCCACCCCCTATTTCATTCTTCTTCTTTTATATAAGATAGTCATGAGATCAATTAATGTTTCATCTTGCTTTTAAGCGAAGAAGGATGTACAAATTCCATGGATTTCTTTTTTATTTATTTATTTTATTTATAAACATAGTCTCCTTCTTCTTAATGAACTGCGTCCTTTTTACCTCTTTTATTGCAAAGAAATTGGTGATTAAGTACTCCATATGATAGTACTACTAAATTAAAGCATACCATAAATCCAAAAAAAAAGGGCTCTACACAATAAATTAACACAATCATTCATTTATTTTTTTCATTCATACAAATATGAAATCTATTCTTAATTAATTCACAAAATATACATATATTAATTCATGATTTCATGAACAAATTTGGTTCTTTTTATATATAAATATGTTTTTTAATTTTCTCCTCCAAATTCATCAATACATAGTATATGATTGTGATATGTGAGGATGAATAAATTTTGTAATAAATTTTTTTTTTCAAATTTTATTATAATTAGTAGTAGTATTAGTAGAAGGGAGATTTGGTCGGGGAATCGGAGAGATAGCAAATCATGAGTGGAAGAGCGAAAGCAAAGTTGTGTGGTGCCGGATTTTACTGTCGTTTTGCTTTGCTTCATTCATCGTTTTTCGGACTTTGCTTCGGAGATGAGCATTGGGTTTTGAGTTACACGTGCGCCGCCCTGTCCATAAAAACTCCTTTTCGAGGCCAAAACAAACCATTAGCTTCCATGTAAAGCCAACCAAACACGCCTTTCGCTTCCAGCGATAAAATCTTCCCTGAAGCTGTTATCGCCTGCACAGAGAAGTTGAAGCGTTGGAGAAGGAGAGTGGATCGGAGAACGTCCGAAGAACTGAGGTAACTTTTCTCTGAATTAAATTGCTAATTAAGTTTTTTTTGGTCTTGATTCTGCGATCTGGTGTTTATCCTTCATCGGAACCCTAGCTTGCTTCTCCGATTTTGCGAACTGAGATTTTTCTGTTGAAAAATTGATCGATTCTTTAATTCTGTTTCTCTATTGGTTGATTACTTGATTTCTTGTGTAATCGACATTTTTGTCTCTGAATTTTGTCTGTTGTGTATTTTTCTAAGTAATTTGGTAGAGTTTCGTCGATTCGGCGTTCCAATGTTCGTCGGGAACGCTAGCTTGCTTCTCCGATTCTGCGAACTGAGATTTTTCTTTTGAAAAAAATGGATCGATTCTTTAATTCTGTTTCTCTACTGGTTGATTTCTTGTGTAATCGACATGTTTCTCTCTGAATTTCGTCTGTTGTGTATTTTTCTCAGTAATTTGTAGAGTTTCGTCGGTTCGGCGCTCCAATGTTCGTCGGAAACACTAGCTCGCTCCTCTGTCCAGCAAACTAGAAATTTCACGGTAAATCCTTCATTCGTGTAGATCGTTGTCGTTACAGTTCTTTCATGGAATGGAAGTTGAGTTTTCTGAAATAATTTTTTTATTCCAACCTTTTAATTTTTCTTTGTGTTCTTGATCCGTACAATTGACGTCTTTCAACTTCATGCCTGATTTTGTGCGATCTTTAAACATTTTGATCGATTGAGCTTCTTGATTTCATCTTCGATCTTGTTATTGCTCTGTTTTATCTTTCTTTCCATCCAGATTGCTAAATTCTGTCGCTACCTTTCTACTCCTTGTCTGCGGAAGTATTTTATTATAAATTCCTAATTTTAGATTATATAGGATGGAGACTAAATATTTTTATTCCTCTTGGTGATTTTATTTTGTAAATTTCGTAATGTACAAGGTTTTTTTTGGAATCTGCTAAGATTATATTTGAAGATAAAGTTTCCTTGTATAAACGAAGATAAAGTTAGGAAAATATTATCACAGCATGGTTTAGCGTATGGTATATTATAGAAAATGTGCTTTGAATTGATTAAATTTTTGGTGGGCCATGGTTTAGATGTTAGAAAGTGGCTTGGGACAATGCCATTCTGGTTATTCATGATTACCACATAGTATCTTCATTCTTTGTACTTCACATCAATCATTGCCTGTTATTTTTGCTTTCTTTTGGCTGCTGTATGTCTTCTGAATGAGCAACCATAATAATAACTACTTTATATAACGCAACCCCACAATCACAAGTACTTTTGATGCATAATTGCTAATGACTAATTTATCACAAATATATTTTTTTAATTGTAATACTGTATGCCAGAATTCTGGAATTAACACTTTTATATTAATGTTATGTTTTAAAATTTCTGAGAATTTTTTATTGTTAGGGAAAATTTTTAGTATTGTCACCTGAAGTTTGATTGTCTTCCTATATTCATGTCTTATTTTGGTTTTTCTTTCTTCAAATTGTCACCTTTGGTATTTTTTTTTTTTTTCATTTTCCCTCTTTGGATGATATCAAGCTAATCTTAGTGGCATAGGGTTATCGTTACTTTATGAGTTCTACATAAAAGTAATAAACTGCACCCTACTGTTTTATTAATCTCCCCTCTTAGATCATTTAAGAATTACCATAGCATTTTCTATTCATCAAGCTCTTGCATTTTTATCTTCAAAAGAAAATACTGAGCTGTTGGATTCTAGAATTTGTGTGGCTGTACGATATTGTATTTTTTTCCTTTAAAAAACAAAAAAGAACATTCGAGATCATGTAATATGTGGAAATGTAGTTAAGAGAAAATGTCTCCCGTGCATATGTCTACTGTTTAATGTTAGTTATGGTACAAGGCTACCAAGTTAGAGATTTCATATTCAAATTTTGAGTTGAATGAAAAGTTTGGAAAATAGAGGGTTATTTCATATAAGAATAATTGCATTATCAAATGTCTAGTGTCTAATTCATTTATTTAATTTTTCTTTTTGCTTTTAATTTCTGTACTTTGTTTATGGCATGACGGTGAGAATTATGGAATATGTTCTGGTCTTATCAAAATTTTCCTTTTAAACAAGCAGATAATCTTTTTGATCAAATGGGGTTCTTGCTAAATGTTCATTTGTTCATTTGTTTTTTTATCAACGACCATGGCAAAAGTTTTTTTGTTTGTGACTAGATTGTTTTGCGCTCAAATTTTAAGGTCAAGTGCAACTTAGCACAATCAAATAATTTTTCCATATTTAATCAAGCATCCCTTTTCAATGCCTAATTCATTTACTATGTTCTATACTTTTTTCTTGCTGGATACCATGTTATATACTCAAAAGAGTTTTGTTGATATCTTGAGGAACAAAGTGGTTTTCTTTTTTTGATCTGAATTTAGATTTGGAAAAATGCTGAAGTACATGGTCCCCCAAGTGGGAGGCAACTTCAGAATGATTGTAATGATTCACTCTTTTTTCTGTTTTAGGTATATGTATATAATTAAAGACATGTCCTCTAATTTACGGCTTTCCTTTTTCTTCTCTCCTTCCTGTTTGCATTATTTGCTTTGTTGATGCATCTTTCTTTTTAGCTTTCACACGTATGTCCATTTTAATTGTCACAAAGTCTTGATTTTCAGCTGCACTTGCAGGCAGGTCAGCTGTGTCCTCTTTTCTTTAACCGGATATGGGTAGTGGAACCAGAGCTGATAATAATGGAATCTTTTGTTATTGCTACTATTCACCGTTTTTCTTTTCTAAAATGCCTTTTTCTATCACTTAAAGTTTTTATTTTTAGCTATCAAAATTTTGTTTTTGTTTTTGTTTTTGTTATTTTTTTAATCACTAGCTCAATCGGGTAAAAACTTATTCATGGGCCAATATCAAAAAATCATATTTTCAAAACATGACCAGTAAAACTGTCATACGTACGGCCATCCCAATTCCGAAAACTTTATAGAGTAATGTCGGTTGTCTGCCTGTCAATTGTAATCATACTGGTTTGGGCTCGTTCTGTTAAATTAAGGCCCAATTAATGAACCATGGGTCTTTCGTTATGCAGCTCATTCCAAATTTCTGAGCTAAGTGGACCTACGGTGAGTGATTAATGACTGGATTAAAATTGTTTTATGTTATTGTGAATCGGCCCAATAAAGTTCCAATATCGAATGTGTTCTAAATAACTATCGAATGCAGTCTATGCAGACCCCCTAACGGAAACTGTTACGTAAGGGTCACATTAAGGCCCAATAAGAAATAACGGTCCCAATGAAAAATTTGAGGGTAGGGTCTAACAAAGTCCCAACAAGAAACAGTAAGCTAGTACATTTTTGGACCATTAATATGGGCCCAATATGCAATATTTTTAGCCCAGCCTAGGCTGAGGCCCAATGATAACAGAATTTGGGCCCAGCTCTGGCCTAATAAAAATTGAGTCCAAGATAATAAAATTTTTGGGCCCACTGATCAGGCCCAATCAGGGAAATTTTGGGCCCCAAAAGGGCCTAATAAGACAGAAATGGGCTCTTTCAGACCCAAACCCGAAGCTAGGGGCCCAATGGAGGTCCAGTAAAAAACAATTAGTCGAATACGATTTCTGCACCATTAATACAGGCCCAATAAAAATGTTTAGCCCAACCTAAACTGAGGCCCAATAAGAATCTAAATTGGGCCCAACATAGGCCTAATAAAAAACTCGAGCCCAAGACCAATAAAATTTTGGGCCTCCCCGATTCAAAGCCCACTAGTAAGGCCCAAATATGAAAATTGTTGACACATTTGAGGCCCAATTGGATAGAGATATGGCCCAATCAGGCCCAAAAAGAAACTTGATTCGAATACTCTTTTGGGCCTCTTAGATAGGCCCGATTTGAATATTTTGTTGGCCCAAATGAAATATTTCATGCCAATGAACCAATATAAGCCCAATTAGAAATAAATTTACCTAATCTGGAATTTTTAAGCCCAAAAGAATTTTATGGCCTGAGGCCTAATTTATAAACCATTGGACCCAATATCCAACTTTGCGCGCAAGAGTGTCTAATAGAGACCCGACGCGAAACGTTTCTGGGTCACATTGGGTATTAAGTGGGGCCTACATTTAAGCCTAAGAGCCTCTTTTCAAGACATTTTTGGGAAATGGACCATAAACTATAGACATTATGAGCCACGTTTCAGCGTTAAAACTTACAACATGGACCTAGATCTACTTGAAAATTAATTAAAAGAAATAAAACAAAAAACAAAACTTTAAAATAGAACAAACACAAACTGCCCTTTATCTGCTAATCAGACGAACTTAAGCCTGAAAAGTCTCACGCCTGGGCCGAGTCAAGATGGCCCCCATCAATCAGGATGCAAGGAATACGAGGGAAGTAAATTCTGATTCAAAATTTTCGGAGGACTTTGGGCCAACTCAATGCCTTGTCCCTTGCTGAAGGAACAAGTTCTCCCGCACTTACCTGTACAGTATATGGAGATTAAATTATATGTTTCCAAAATATAAGTCTGTTTAAAGGCATTTAAAATCACAGGGCATAGAAATAAATTAAATTTGTGCAAGAAACAATCTCTAAAAAGTAAATAATTTGCATGTATTAACTTTTTATATTTTTCAAAAAAGAAGTCTGCTTTCTTCTGAGTATACCAAGCAGATATAAAGATTATTCAAATCCTATTATCATAAGGCTATACAATTTACCTTGTGTGTATGCTAGCTAGGGACTCGCATTTTACAAAGTTTGCAATTCCTCGCGCAACTTGTGAAAGAACATCTGGATGTCCACATCTCACCATTCCCAGCAAAGCCCTAATTCCACTTTCAGATCTCAGCCTTAGTTGTAGCTTGTCTAGTAGAAGGGGAAGAGAGAGCCAAGTTAAGTGCTTAATAATGAAACAGAAACTACAAGAAATAATGTTGCTAAATGCATAAAAATACCAGCCCCAGCATATGTTTGTGTACAACTTAGGTAGTCATGTCTCTCGAGTTCTAGTTCATAATTCCACATTGAAAAGTGACAATCCTCGCAACCAATCTATTTTAAAAATAGAGAATCTCACACTAATTCACGATAAGTTCCCTCTTCTTAAGGCCACAAAAAGAAAAGATATAAAACCCTCTTAACGAAAAAGAAGTTAGGACAATAAATGAGATAATGCAATCTACCATTGCCACACAGATTTGCAATAGCACCAGCAACCATGCAGAGTTTGCTGATCATCAGCATCAGAAGCTGTACTAGATAACAAACTGATTCCACCTTGTGCCAGTATGAGTTTTTGATTGGTCTCTGCTTTGCCAAAAAGGTAACAACATCAAAACAAATATAATGAGAACCAAATAGTGGCTAAATGCTAGAGTAATAGCACCAAACTAACACAATCATGCAATTCCCATGCAAAGAAAAGTTCTGACAATTACCATTCATAGCAAGATTGGCAATTGCACCAGCTGCTAGCCTGCTACTCTGAGAATGGTTTCATCATTGGAGTTACTAAGACGCATCAGTAAGGAATCAAGACCACCAGCTTCAACAATCCTTGCCTGGTTCAACTCTGCTCATTAGATAGTTAGAGGGCAAATCCCTTATTGTTAATTTTAAAATAAGTATAAAATTAAGGAAATGAGATCAAAGCTTATGCAAAACCCTTTTAAAAATATAAATCATAAATAAAATTTGACAGAAAAACAAACTATAACTACTTAGAATGCCCAAAGCTAATACTGAACTTTTTGGACAGATTGTTCTTGTTTGTAGAGTGCATGTAGAACCACATCCAACACTCACCTTCAGCTGCTAGGCTGGCCACCACTTTTACTGCATGAATTTGTACATTGACATCATCCAATTCAAGCAGGGACAAGATCTTTTTGCAGTTCAACTGTTAAATTAATTGGTATAAAGAAAAATTAAGAAATTGATGAAATAAAGATAGTTTTAACTGATCTTACATCCGGAAAACATTATCACCTTGTTCAAAGAGAGATGCAACTGGAGTCTTCTGTCTGTCCCCTGAATCTCTGAACTGAGAATGATTGACTTGGGACATTGGTGAACCGAGGCCACCATAACCATTTCCAAACCCACCTCTTCCAAGACGTTGTCTCATCTATAAAGATAAAATATTGACACAGTTAATAAAACATATCTGTGCTTGTTCTTAGGGGTTAAGGACTGCTAAAGCTAAAGGATGGCAGAAGTGCCTTAACATATGTCATCAGACAAAGTCAATGCAAACCTTTTTATTTAATTTTTAAGATCTACAATTTCTATGAGAAAAGCAGTTTTATACCAGCCACCAGATCATTGTGCTAATGTAAACAGTTGAACTCAATATAGTGCTGAATTGAAAAATCTTAAATATCAAATTTAACTCCTATAGATCAGATACCTGATCAGCTTCAAAGGTCAACTGTAATGGCTGGCTACTAAGTATTATTATTTCTTCTTCGAACTTCTTTTTTTGATAAACTTTGTCTTCCAGAACTTTTTGAAGCCTTAGGATTTCTGCATCTCCACTTGCCTAGAACACCAAAATAATCCTCATACACACAGTCAACACCACACTTAGAAGTCACTGGAAGCTCCTAGAATATAAAACAAAAAGTCTAGTCAATTTGATAAAACACATACCCTTGCTTCTGTATATTGCCTTGATTGACTTCTTAGCTTGTTGATCTCATCTCCAGCTTCCTTTTTCATATGAATTTCTTCCTCATGCAGCTTTTTGAGCTCACTATCATCCTCAGAAATGATAACCTCAAGCCCCTGAAATCATGAATAAGGAAAAAAAAATGTGAATATAAAGTAAATACAAGATAATGTCAAACTCTTTGTAGAAAATAATGCCAAAACATTTCAAACCCACCACTACCTCACTACTTGATTAACAAAAGAACTTCTCTGTCTAACAATTTCAGATGACACAGAAAAGAGGATCTTAAAGAAGGGTACCTCTCCAATGCATTTAGCATGGATGCAGCCATTAAAGATATGCTTTTGTTGATTTTCTATCATCTTTTCCTCCAGCTTCTTAACTGATTCCATGTACTCCATCTGGCATTTTAACCTCCCCTTCTAAAAATGGAAACAGAAAAAAATGCATCGAAAATTTCAAGTTTTAATTTTGCAGTTGCAGCCCATACGTGGCAATACATCCTACCACATGGACATTTATCTACAATGAAAGGAAATGAAGTGGCAGCATTTAAGAGAAAAAGGTAAAATAAAATGAAGATCAACTAAATTCGCATGAATAATAACCAACAATAAGGGAAAGTAACTTGAAGATAAAGCTGAAAATACCAACTAAGACAGAATTTAGAACAATGAAATCAGTAAGCAAGCCAAAATAATTACAAACTACAAGCATAATTCAGCAATCGCTGCAGAGAAGGAGTAAAAGACTAGATGGTTCAGTATAAGGACATCATACTAAAATTACATGAAATAACAAATATGACGGACCTCACGTTTCTGTGATGCAAACTCAGTAAGCACCTCATCGAACTTGTATGTGTCTGAGTCTCAATTATTTTTCCGAAGTTTCAATCTCTTTAGCTGTAATTGTGCAAAAACATAGCACTTTTTATGATCATCAAACATAATCCGATCAAAATGGCACATAGTTAATGTTAGTACTAAATAGGAGTGAAAAACCACCTCTGGCTGTAATTCTACGCAATTAGCAAAATCTGCATCCGCTACCAACTCTTCTACATTTCGAGGGTGCAATATTACTGCCACTAGAACTCGTCCTGGCACTGGCCAGAAACAACAAGAACGGATATATTTAGGTCATGAAGTTAAAAGAAGTAAGCAGGATTCAAGTCTTAAATACCAATCTATCATCCTCACGAATCAGTTCGCCTGAGTACGCTACTTCTAGCTTAAGATAACGATTCAACAAGCATTTTAGTCAAGAAAATCCTAATTATTAACCTGAATTGAATCAATATACCAATTACTAATCGCGTAACAAGAAGCTTCGAGATTCATGGCGAAGAAAATTGAAACAAAACCTAAGTGCATTCTCCATTCGCAACATCAGCGTTTACTTCAAAACCTAAGTCCAGACTGCACATCAGTTTTTCGTTACTATAACCAAAGAGATAGCGGCGCAACTAACCTCCGTTGTCTCCGGCAGCGGCGGTCGTTCCAAATGAAGGTGAGCTCCGCCTCCAGAAGTGCTGCGATGGAGGAAGCCTCGACTTGAACGATGATGATTTGAGATTCGAGGAGTTTCGCAGAGCGCCATTGCGATGAGCACTCGAAGCCATCGTCATCTCTTCCTTTCAGTTCCTCATCTCCAGAAAAAAAAATGCTCCTATTTGCGTTTTACGACTCAGAAACCAAACATGGAGTGTGAAATGGAGGAGGAGTAGCAGTTACAGTGTCTATTTCCGGCGGTAAATTTGGAGGGTCGGCGGATTCGCAGTTCAAAAGAAGGTGATGATGAAGAAAGGGACGCATTGTGTCGGCAACGAGGAATGGCGTGAGAAGAGACAGGCTGTTTCTCTCAGATCCATAAATGGTTAAAATTCCAATTTGGTTCCTTAACTTTCACATTTATACCGAAATTATCCCTCATTTCAATATAAAAAAGTTTGTTATTTTATTATAAAATTATTTTTTTAAATATTAATAATATATAAAATTTTATGACTATATTTTATTACCATGATATATTTTTATTTATAGATTAAATTAATATATAATGAAAATTAAAAGATTAAATTAATATTTATAATCAAAGTATAAAGGTTAAATTGACATTTATTTTTAAATTTTAAAAACTAAATTATTGTTACCTTCAAAGTTTAAAACTATTTTAATATAAAAAATTAAAATTTATGAATAATTTTGATTTTTTTAAATTAAAAAATAATTTTAATATAAATCTAAAAATTAAGAAATGAAATTAATATTTGAGTAGTGCTATAGAAATAATATTTTTATATTATTTTTTTATAAAAATTTTTATGTTTCGTTAAATGAGTAGATACATTCAATATTATAAAATCATATGAATTAAAAAAATTAATCATTTAAATAATAATACGTCAAGTTGTATAAAATAATAAGATGAAAAAGTTATACAAAAATATTTCACTTGATATTTTAACCTCTATAAATCCTTCGGCAGGGCAGACTAAGGAATTTACCAAAATGCTCTTTTCTGCTAAATTTTTGTTTTTAATTTTTCTTTTTTGTTTGTTGCGAACGAAACCGCCTTCACCGTTGTCATGAATAGACACGTGTCTTGTGGTCCTCGATCTATTGTGGATAGTGCACCAGCCCGCAAAATTTACCAGGAAGTATGGTAAATGACTAGCAAACGCTTTGCTTTTGAACTTTTTCAAGTTCTTAGCGTCTTACAAGTACAAAGAAAAACCACAAGGACTAAATCAGCCAAATTTAAGATTTGTACGAAGTTAATAATTTTTCCTTTTGTACTTCAATTGAATAAAGAAACTTCTTATTTTTTTCTTTTGAATTACATAATATTTTTTATAATAAATTATAACTAATTAAAATACAATACTTCAGAATAATTTTGCCAATCCGAAGTGTTCTTTGCAATCAATTTATGGGACATTTAGTCATTTACTAATCCTTTTTTAATTGCTATATTAGATCTATTTAGAAATTTTTTTTTTCAAAGATTTAACTTTAAACCTAACATATAGTCAGTAATCAATTTCTTTAAACAGAAGTAAAAAATTTTAAATTTAAATTATTTAACATATAAATAAAATAAGTTAAAAAATAAAAAAATAATTCATGTATATAACACAATATATATATTTTTTAAATAAAGACAGTACTAATAAGATCAACCTTTCATTAGTTTCTATAAAATATTTGGATTAACAATTTAAATGCAATGACTAATAAATAGTTTATATCTAATAGTTAGTTGCTTAATATTAGGAAGTTTTAATTCATGATCTTGATCCATTAAGTATAATAAAAAATAATATAGTTATATTATTACGTGATATTATAAATTTACAATAATAATATATTATTATATAATTATTTTTTTTCAAAAATTTACATATAATATTTTACACATTTATTAATTTAATGAAATATTATAATTATAAATTTATAATTTTATATAATATTTTAAAATTTTAAATTATATCATTGCCATAAATACAATAAAGATTGAAAAATGACTTTGAAATAATTTTTTTATATTATTTTTTTATACAACTTGACGTGTCATTTAAATGATTGATTTTTTTAATTTATATAAAACTCATAACATTAAATACATTTACTCATTTAATAATATGTAAAAACATATAAAAAATAATATAAATTTTAATAATACGAACTAAATGGATATCCCTAATTAAAATAATTAAAATTATATCTAGCGGAAATGTAGAAGAAATAAATATTCATAAAATAAAATTGCACGCCCTATTTCTCTTCGAACGGCAGCCTAGGCAAAACCCTAAAAAGTAGGGGTGGGATCCGGGTGGGTAACCATGCATCCGGGTGGTGGTTACCCAGAAACCAAAACGTAAAAATAAATTCGATTTGGTTTTAATGGTTTTTAAATTTTACTGTTTCAATTTAATATTAACCAACTAAATTTTGGTTTTATTTCAATTAAATCTTTCATTAATTAAAAATCAAAATGAGTCTCTTAACAATTAAAATTTGAATAAATATAATAAAATATAACATGAAATATAGTTTATTATTCAAAAAAAAAACTGATTAATGTTTATTTGATAGAAATCAAAACTGAATCAATAAAACTAATTTTATTTATAATCAAACCGATTGATTTGTAAAAAATTCGATTCAATTTCGGTTCTCAAAATTGAATTCGGTTAATTCAACCGAAACCGGTTTTTGTTCTCTCCCCCCACCACCCCCCAACTAAAAAGTAAAAACCACAAATTCAGACGCCACCGTCACTCTTCTCTACTCATTCACCTCTCCTACCCGTCACAGCCAGCCACGGCTACCGCCACCAACCTTCCCTTCGAATCAGTTTAAATGGCCCGTGCGTGTTCCGTCCTTGCTCATTGCTCTCGCGGACTAATGATCTCCAGCTCCATTATCACCACTATTTCGACCATTATCATCATCACTACCTATTAAACTATCCACTCTCCCTAGCATTTCTTTGTTGATTTCGAATCCATTTAGCTTCTAAAGATATATAATTTTGGTTAAAAAGAGTTTCAATCTTTATCCAAGCCAAGGGTTCTACTTAGCTATCCCTGCTTCCTGGAATGGCTACCCTGCAGAGCTACAATGTGTGCTTGAGAGAATCTGCTCTCCAATCTTCGCGTCCCAATTGCGGTGATTACCAGAAAAGGTTTGGTCTTTTCTTTCCATTAGATGCTATTGTTTATATGAATTGTAATTATATTAATGAAATGCCATGTGAAATTAGTAGTTTTGTTTTCTGTGAGAACTGGATCTGTTAAGGAGTTCATCCCCTTTTCTTGATTGGGCCTGCACTTGTTTGTTTTCTATTTTGGGAACTTATGTTGCAAAACACATCTTTTTTTTGGTATAACATGTTGCAAAACACATCTTTTTTTTGGTATAACATGTTGCAAGAAATCGTCAAATGGTAGTATATTCCAGTTTTCTGCTCATCATTTTATTTTTGCGAATCAGGAGGAATGCAAAATTGCGATCCCCACAAGCAGCGGTGATACCCAATTTCCATCTGCCAATGCGCAGTTTTGAAGTCAAAAACAGGTACTTTTATCTGTGTCTGACTTTCTGCTTAGAATTTGGTTGTTTTATGCAATGTGATTTAATGATTGTCTATAAAGTTTGGTTCTTGATGGTGTGTCTCCTAGTTTATTGTCAGTTTGCCTCCTTATTGAAGGATATTAGAATGCGTATGAGAACATTGTGCTGGTTCTTTTTCCTTTGGTCGTCGTCCACTCAAACAGTTATTCATTTAGTTAGTGTGTTGTTGTACCCTTGTGAAGATTCTTTGATATGTTTAAACATCAATAACCTCATTAATTTGACTGTGAATTTTATGTTCAAAGTTCATAAACAAATAACACACTCGACATTCAGAATGCCACAATAGATATATTGTATGATTGGTCCCTAGTGTGGACCATGAAGAAGTGAGAACTGTATCTTGTTGACTATCATTTTCTATCTAACAATTGTTTTTGTTGATAATTTTCCATGTTCTAACAATACTAACAGAACATCAGTAGAAGATATAAAGTCTCTTAGACTGATAACAGCCATCAAAACCCCATATCTACCCGATGGAAGATTTGATCTTGAGGCCTATGATAACCTGGTGAATATGCAAATTGAAAATGGTGCAGAAGGAGTGATTGTTGGTGGCACAACTGGTGAAGGCCAATTAATGAGTTGGGATGAACACATAATGCTTATTGGTCACACGGTCAATTGTTTTGGTGGATCTGTTAAGGTAATTGGGAACACAGGGAGCAACTCCACTAGGGAAGCAATTCATGCCACTGAACAAGGTTTTGCCGTTGGAATGCATGCAGCGCTTCACATCAATCCTTACTATGGCAAAACCTCTCTAGAGGGTTTAGTTTCTCACTTTAACAGTGTGCTGCCAATGGGTCCTGCCATCATATACAATGTCCCATCACGAACTGGCCAAGATATTCCTCCGCATGTGATCTATGCCGTGGCACAGAGTTCAAACTTGGCTGGGATTAAAGAGTGTGTTGGAAATAACCGGATCCAAGAATATACAAATAATAGACTTGTGGTATGGAGTGGGAATGATGAACAATGTCACGATGCTAGGTGGTTCCATGGTGCAACTGGGGTTATTTCTGTTGCTAGCAACCTCATTCCAGGATTGATGCGAGAACTTATCTTTGGAGGAATGAACCCTTTACTGAATTCAAAAGTCATGCCTCTAATTGAGTGGCTCTTTTACGAGCCAAATCCCATTGGCTTAAACACAGCTCTTGCACAATTGGGGGTTGTCAGACCAGTTTTCAGGTTACCTTATGTGCCTCTTCCTCTAGCCAAGAGGGTTGAATTTGTTAACCTGGTCAAGGAGATTGGCCGGGAGAATTTTGTGGGAAAGAAAGATGTTCAGGTTCTTGATGATGATGATTTTATCTTGGTGGGGCGGTATTAGTGTTCTATCCTAAGGAATAATTTGTTTCATAATTTCTGGTACGAGAATTACTTTCCTTTATTTACTGTAAGAGAACCCTTTTTTATTCTTTTTTTTTAAAATTTATTTCTACTTTGAGTTGCAAAATGAAATACGGTATTCTCTTATTCTTTTACCCATCCCACTTGCATGCAAAAATATTGAATCTAGAATCTCTTGCTCTATGTGAAAGAGAAATTATTACTCTGTCACTTAGGTGGTTGGCACTTTAATAACCTCTTTGGTTGCTCAAATCATGCCTGTCCTGGTAAGTTAGTTGCCATCAATAAATAATATGGTGGATGTTTGTTTGGATATTTCTCCGTACCTTTGTGTCTTCTTTTATGAGCAGGTTTAAACATTCTGGAAAGAGTCACTCTTGCGCTTTTCATTGTATGGCAGCATTCATGTTACAAATTATTCCAAGTGAATGTCTCCTCTTTTTTCGCTGATAAAAAAAAAAAAAAAAAGTTACCTCCTCCTTTTTCTGAACCCTGAAAGTCTCCCGAAATCTATGTTTAGTTTAGTTTGCATCATGCATGTACAATGAAAAATGCTTGCATCCATGTTTAATCCACCATTATATTATGAAGACATGTCATGTTCTCAATAATAAACAATTAAATATGGAGATGAGGAGATGTAATTTCTAATTAACCAAGATTACAACTCTAAACGTCATATAAAATACATGAACTAAATGAAAGTAGAACCAATTCCCATCTCAAATTTATAGAGAATAAACTAGATTTAAGCGCCGCAAAAGAGAAGAAATGAAGCTGAAGAGACTTCATGACAACTAAGAAACTAACTGAAGTTCTCCTTCTACATGGTGTGAGGAAGTATTTCTAGTGGTCTCTAGTGCTACTCGAGTACTGGTTATTTAGGCTATTTTAAAAAGTGGTCTGCGGGTTATGGAGCTTCTTCTGTAGCTGAGCCAACAGGGTTTGGTTCTCTTGGTGAAGAAGAAGAGCTTTCCTCCTCAGCTCCTCGTTCTCTTCTATGATGCTCTGATTCTTCACGTACAGTTTCAAGTTCTTGATTTCCATCTTCTCTATTCCATCCTTCACCATCGTCTTCTTCGCCCCTGCTCCCCTCCTTGTCCTCCACCTGTTGCATTACACACCATTTATATATTCAAAAAGATAAGGGAGGAAAGAACAGAGAGAATGGATATTCCACGAAAACAAAAACCAAACCTGTTCAGCCGGCGAACGCGAACATTGTGCCGCTTGGATGGACGTCTACGCCAAAAAGAATAGAAAGATTCACTTCTTGGAATCGGGGTTGAAGAATTCATGCACATACTTTCTGTTTCCTCTTAAGCTTAAATTCCAGCAAGAAAGAAAGGATTGAAAGGATTCTCTCTGGCCGTGTCTCTGAAGGAAAAACCAAGGCAAATATGTATTATGAGGGGATCCTAAGTTCCATATGAAGAGAAAAGATGCATTATATAGCAAAGATATTATGTTTGTATATGCAAATGTAAAAAATAAAATAAAATATTAAGAGGGGGGAGAGAGGCTTTTGGACGTAATGATGGCATGAGGACTCATGATGACAAAAGGCCAGCAACGGATGAAGATAAATGCAGAGAAAGAGAGAAGAAGATGCGAAAAAAGGGACTTCTCTTCTTTTCTCTGCCCTTTTGATTGCTTTCTCAGAACTAAGTGAGAGGGGTAACGGGTTGGGGCACATAGAAAACGACTATTCCCTCAACACCTAACATCTTCAATACACATTTAAAAAAAAAAATTTATGAGAACTTTCCCCCTTGAGTTTCATTTACACATTAAATTCAAGTCCTCCCCATGTTTCCAAAAAAAAGAGCCTAAATTGGACCATTTTCATGTGCTTTGATCAAACTAATCATCAATATATTTGTTTGGGTGTGGTATCATTGCAGTAGACATTACTCTCGGTTAATTTTCAAACTTGGCAAGCTGTGTTTCATTTTATCCAGTGTTTATATTATAATAACCCCCTTGAAAAGTTAAACAAAGCATTGAGTATTGTTTCCAGGGATCATCCCACTACCGGAATAAACTATAAACCCTTCGTGTAAGAAAAGGCAGATTTCTTTGACAAAACTTAGCCACTAATAAGTCAAAGTAGAAGGGCTAGGCACTTCTACGCATAATTGACGAACCCAGAGTGTTCAATGAATCTCACAAGTAAATGTTGCTAGCGTAAATCTTTCTAAAAACATAATGATAGATTTCGGTTTGAATTCCACCATGGAAAAAAAATTTAGTTAGGAGCATACGTTACCTAGAGAATTAGATATATGATATGGTAAAAATTACTATAAAAGTTAGGTGTTTTGCATAAGAATTTTTAAAAAATTAATATATTTGACAATTAAAATATCAAAAATAATAATAATAAAATTTAAATATTATCAGTAAATTAATAGGTAATGAAATATTTATTAATAATATTTAAATAATTTTATAAATAATATTAATATTTTAAATATCAACCCATCATAATTTTTACGAAATCTCTTTATAGTATTAAAAAAGTATTGCTTTTGAAAAACAGATACAAAAAGGAAAACCTAATTGTTCTTTTCTTTGCCTTTTTGAAGAAAATGTTTACGTCTTGGACTGGTTAAAGTTCAGATTGAATCTGAAACTTCCACTAGCTCATCTCCATAATTAATTATGCTTAATCATTTGCATTAACATGAAACCATCCACAAACACCAAATATTTTACTACAGTAATGCCGTACTTTAGGCCATTTTATCTTAGGTGTCAGCAATTTGGGATAATATAAGCTTATTCTAATCAAAATTCGATGGAAAGGATCAGCATTGGAATGTCAGTGTCTGCTCCAATTGAGATTTTTGTTAAGAAAGACAAGCCAGTTGGGTAGGGGGGTGTCACGTGAAAACCACGTGGGGACCTTTGAATGTGGGGTCGTGAGAAAGAGACCAAAAAGGGGGGGGAATGAGTGGGGTGTTGAGGGCGTAGTGAATGTGGTTAGGTTCTTCTTTTGTCTCTTTTCTTAGTGTAATTGAGTACTAGAACCATGCTCATTTATTTAGACAATGAAACCCCATTTTGGCCTCTTCTTCTTCTTCATCTTCATCATCATCATCATCGTCTCCTCATATTCACAAGATGGTATCATGAGGAGATACGGGTGGACGTCTATTTGGTCTAAAACTCAGTCACTTCACATGGTCCCCTCTCACTATGTCGCATTTTGGAAACTTGGGTTAGACAACCCACAATTGAATTCTTGAAGAAATACTATCCAAGAATATCAATAGAGAATATAGAAATAATTATTCTCACTTGGGTCATGTTTAGTTGGATTGACTGTTAGTTTAGAGGGAATAACTAGGAGTTACAAGTTGTTGTTAGCTCTTATCTCCCAATTTTATTTTATTGTAAGCAATTTGATGTGATAAGAGAACGAGCAATTAATCCTTTCTTATGATATATAATAATATTAAAATTTAGTTTATTTTTATAATTTAATGAAAATAATATAGTTACAATGCTACATGACATTTTAATGTTATAATTATAATATATTATTATACAATTGACTTTTCATTTAAAAGTTTACTTATAATTTTTTATAATTTAATGAAAATAATATAGTTACAATGCTACATGACATTTTAATGTTATAATTATAATATATTATTATACAATTGACTTTTCATTTAAAAGTTTACTTATAATTTTTTATAATTTAATGAAAATAATATAGTTACAATGCTACATGACATTTTAATGTTATAATTATAATATATTATTATACAATTGACTTTTCATTTAAAAGTTTACTTATAATATTATATGTATTTATTTATTTAATAATATATCAAAATTATAAACATACAATCATATTCTCTTTATTATTAAATAACTGTTATTTTTTTGACCTTTTTTTCTTAAATTGAGGGTTTGTGGACAACAGTTGTATTTATCTATAATCTCTTTAAAAAAATAAAAAAATAAATTGTAATTGGATGATTAATTAAAGTAAATAAATAATGAAATGATTAAAAAAAAAATTTGTCTACTTTAAAAAATTAAAAAAATAACTATTAATTTGAGATAAATTTAAAATTAAAAAATAACAATTATTTTGAGACATATAAAGTACATGACATTAAAACTATATCATTGACATAATTTAACTAAATAATAGACATTCCTCCAACCAAAAGAAACGATTAAGAAAGAAAACATTTAAGTATCCTTTACAACGCTTTTGAAATGCAACATGCATCTACAAGATACGCGAAGGGGATGTAGGCTGGTAATCCTCCTCAGTCCTCATGATGCTGTTTTGAAAATAAATGGTTGGGCAATATTTATGAGGACTAAGACCACTAGCCTTCAGTCATTTTCTGGTATTACCATATACCATCAACCAAGTACTCATTCCAATTTCCATCATGTGGGATAGGTTGAAGTAGTCAACAATGATATAAAAACTCCCTAATCCTATACGCATTCCAAGCTTATATTCTTGCCCTTTGTTTGGATTTTCTTCTCCTAGTAGGAATTTACAACTTAGGGTTATAGTCTATGTTGTAATTCTGAGAATATCCAAGCAAAAGTTAGAAACCATATGGTGAGAGATTCACGTGCATGATCCACAATTTTTTTTAAAAAAATTTATAATGTACCATGTATGAAATTTTTTTTATTTTAAATTTATTTTATTCACATATTATGTAATTTAAATTTAAAATTTTTTACTATTTTATATAGATTGCTCCCCATGGACGATGTGCATTTGATAATTATGAATTATGACTCTATGGACGGTGTGTGTCAATCTTACCGTCAACGTGGTCCAGATCACCATCGCCTCCAGATTCAAATTAGAAATCTATCGACTTCCCTGACTCTTACTTCTCTTATTAGAAGCAGAAAGACCTTAACAATGGAATATGGCTGGCTCCCTTTGTTATTTCTTCTATTACAATCATGACACCTAAAAACCTGCAATTATAGGATAGCACATATGAATTTGCCCATTTGTTTTTGTACTACCCTTTGCTATTTTTTCAAAGGGAAGGTTGAGTAGTACTCAATACCCATTTGAAGAGAATTTCCACAAGAAATTGAACGCAAGAATTGCCAATGCCCACGCACCAATCGTCTCTCCTTACCATTCACTGCCTCCTTTTTTTTTTTTTAGTCTCAAGGGAAGATAATTCAGTGCGTTTGGGTTGATCAATATTGGAGCACCATAGAGCAATCAAATGTAGCCAAGTTTGTCATATGTGATTCCTGAGGATAGAACAGCCATATGTACATTAACATTTTATGTTGAATACATAAGCTTCTGGAAACTGTAAACAAAAAAAGAAAAAAGAAAAAAGAAAAAAAAAAGGGTACTGAAAAACAAAAACCCAAAGAATTGGAGAAGAAACATGCTTCTAATCTACATTATGAACAGCTTGGCGATAAAAGCAAATAGGATCGGTAATATCAACACATGCTTGTTAATGCTACCCAACAGAGTCTTCTTCAGTAGCTTCCTCATCTTCATCCATTGGAGCATCGTTCTGTTGAACATCATCAGCTTCTTCACTAGCCTCTGTTTCTGCATCTGAAATTGATCCATTTAGGCTTTTTACAACATTATCATCATCACTGTCAACACAATCTTCAGTATCTGAGTCAGATGAGGAGCCCTGTTTTTCCCTCTGTTGATCAAAATCCTGTGTGGCACCAACAAACTGCTCTTTTAGATCAGGAGCAACAATTCCGATCATCTCACTTAATGCTCGACGCTCATGATTCCGTTTGGCAGTGACAGCCTCAGAAGATGGTGTAGTTTGACTTTCGGCAACCTGACCGCTGGAGTCTCGCACTGTCATAGCATGTTCATTATTTTCCCCACTTTTAGGAGATCCGTCATCTCTATTGACAGAAGGAGCAGTGCTGAAAGCCCAACTCCCAACAACTTCAGAAGCTAAAAGGTCTGCTGTCCTGATTGTGCCTCCTGCTTCTGTGTCCTCCACGGATTTTTGATTCTCCATGGGACTGTTTGACTCGGAATGATGTGAAGTTTCTGGACAAATTTGAACCGGCTCATCAGTTTCATGCACATTCGTTTCATCATCCAACTGCATTGTGTCCCCATCTAAAGTTCCACATTTGTTCAAATCAATATTCCGTTCACCCTCCACTCCTAGGCTTTCAGTTTCAAGTACATGTTCAGTTCCAATGATATCTCCTTCAAGAACAAGAGTTGTGCCAGCACCATCTATGTCAGAACCGAACCCACCTCTAACCAGATGGTCACCACTTGTAAATTCTGCCTCTTGGGTATTTTCACCTTCTTCCTGACTTCTTATACCACATTCATGCTTCTCAGTAACACTGGCCTCATCACTAGAAATATAAAATCCCTGAGCGGTAGTGGAGCCAGCCTTCTTGGCACATTTTCCTTGGCATACTGTTGTTTCCTTTTCTCCTACTAGAGTTCCATTAACATTCCCACTAGGTGCATTAAGGTCAATATCAACAGATGTATTCTCATAATTTTCCTCATCTTCCAATGTTCTTTGCATTGCCTTGAGTTGTTCCTGCTGCTTTGCAAACAGTATAGAGATTTCCTCAGTTGTGGAGTAAAATGCCCTTAGCTGTGTTTCTCTGTAGATCAACTACATGGGTCATCATGTGGCAGTGTATCAAATCATGCATATTATTCAGAAGTAAAGAATTGGAAACCTTGCAAGCATTCATGAATGAATATTTCAACAGAAGCTTGATTAGAAAAATGCTTACGAAGCATAATATCGACAACATCAAACTTTAAACATGATCAGCACAATTCACACTCCAACATGTAATATAACACCAAAGATTGATTAACAACCAATGTTAATCAGGTCTTACCGAAGCATAATTCTTTCCCTGGCACCTTTCAGCCTCCTCCTCTCATACTCAAGGTCCCGCATTGTAGCACTTATTTCAAGTTCAAGAGAAGAAACTTTAGCCCATGCTTCTTCTCGGGCTGCCTGCTACCAACAGCATAAAAGAATTCAGCTTAAAAATAGATAACTTCAGCAAGATACCAACATAAATTTTATATCGCCCAATGATTTGCACATGCATTTGTAGCATGTTGATCAACTATTTTTTATAACATTTTATCTGGATTCTGCATCCACAGCCTGCAAATATGCTGCCAATATGCAGCTATTGGATTGGAAATCACAAGAAAAAAATTAGTAATTAGTTGAGTCTCAGTGAGGAGCTTATATGAGACAGCAAACCCACATCAAAGCATTATACATCATTGGCATGGTAAAAAAAGTCGAAGCATTTCCTTGTATACCTTTTCACTCTCTAGCTCTTTCCTCAATCCTTTCATTTCATGTTCAAGTTCTTCGACTCTCTGCCCAAAAATGCAAGATTGAACAAGTCAGATTCAGCAATAACTTGCACATGATTTGCATTTAAGCAGGAACTAAAAACGTTTATATTACTTTTCCTGCATTTGCAGAGGCCTGTTTCTCCTCACAAACTTGTGTTTCTAATTGGCGAACTTTATTCTCAGAATTGACCAATTTTTGTCTGGTTTCTTCCTGCAGCAGAAAATGAAATTGACATAAACAAGTTAATGATATTGATGAAGGCAATTGCATTTTCAAACATACTAAGTTATAATGCTGATGTTACCAGTTTGGACACTAAAGTTTCCACTTGTGAAGAGCTCATTCTCATTGATTCCTACAAATACAATAGCATAACATGCCATCTCTCAAATTATTTAAGATATATTACCCATGAACAAAATTGATGCCACTCTAAGGGTCAAAATCTTTCTTACCTCAAGCTTACTAATTACTTCCTGCTGCTCTCTTTCTCGTTTTATAGCCACATCTGAATGTCGTTTCAGCTCCTCTTGAGCCTCTAGCTGAGCTCTCTGCAATGCTGTTTTTAGATCAGCTGCAGCTTTTTCTCGCTCTTCTCTTCTCTGATCTCGCTCTTCATCTAACTGAGCCTTGAGTTTAGCTATCGATGCCTTCTGGCTGAAATATCAAGAAATAATGTAATTGCCATCTTTTAGATATTCTGAGATTGTCCTCTCTACTTCCACAGAAAACTTTTAAAAATTGAAAGGTAATTGGAAAACGGTTCCTTACTTTTTCATTATTTCATTGGCTTCAGCACATGACTGTGCTGATGCACTAAGCCTTTCATTAAGGTCTTCTGTAGCATGCTTTTGTTCAGCCAATGTTCTACTGATCTCCACCACCTCCTTTTGTTTAACATCTAATAGATTCTGCAGCTCATTGAGTTTATCAAGGAATGACTTTGTAACTGATTCTCTTACCTCTTTGATTTCCTGAAGCATCAGACAGCATTTTTTGTTGAGAGACAAAGACCAGAAAGCAGTAGAAGTTAACCAATCAAACACAAAAACAACTCAAGGACAATGCAAGTAGTGACATAAAAATCGTATAGAGGTTACAAAAATATCTTAAATAATGATGAACATTATTCTATTGCCCTCTGCAACCAAGGTCATCAATATTTATAGTTAGTTCATCAGAAGAGCATACATTTTCACAACGCTCAACAGTAGCACGATTTTCATTGCGCAATGTATCAATGGTAAGGACTTGGCTTTCCAATTGCTTCCTCAATTCCTGCAGGCAGCAAATGTTTGTATCATGGAACCATACCCAATATAACAAGCAATAGAGCCATGAATTTCAATGGTACCCTGTTTGACCGCTGAAGGCTCCGAAAATCATCAAGGGATATAGGACCCTCTGGAGCACCAATTCCAATACCTTTCAGTCTCTTGCTCTCAGAAGCAAATTCATCTGCAGAGAGAGGATATAATGTGTCACTTGAAGTTTCTAAGGGAAGCATATTTAGGAAAAATTTTCACCATCAGTACATATTTCATCAACAAAAAAGAGAAGCAGATAAATTGGGAGAATTAAATATCTGAGATTTTGACTGTTAGTAAGAATATTAAGATGGAGACTTATCACGTACTGACCATTAAGTTAAAACACACGAAACCATATTCATGTGAGCTACACATGACTAGACCACTTGGGATGTAGCAGTAACCAAATTTATGTAATGAAACAAGAAGAATTTGTGGTACCTGCTTTTCTTTTTCCAGCTGCACCCTCTGCTGAGGGATTGGATCTTTGAACTTCTCGATATACAAATGCAAATGCAACTTCTGCAACCATGGAGTTAATATATCATGAGGTGTCACTTTCACCATCATTTATAACCTATAAAATGTTGTAGGAGAGAGGAAGAAGATGGTTACTTGTAAACCTTAAAAAAATAAAACAATGAAAATTTTCATAATCCCACTACTTCTACTCTGTCTCATACATAAATTGTTCTTCTTGATCCCATAATTTACTTATTTCACTTAAAATAAATAGATGAGGGAGCATAGAGGCATTTACCATGCTGAGGAGGAGCAGAAAATGATATAATATCCCCATGTTGAATTTTCATTTCAGGGCTATTCTTCTTCAACTTCTCCCAATTAAGATATGTCCCATTCGTGCTGCAAAAGCCAAAAAGCCCATCAGAGTTTATTGAGATTCAATAACAAAAAGACGTTAATCAGTGAAACTAACCTAGTATCCTTTAAGAAGACAGGGAAATAACAGTTAGATGGATGCTCCATATTTTCACTTGCAGCTCTCTTTCTATAAATTCTGCAATGATATGCGCTGATTGTAGTTGATTCAATCTGAAAGCGCGCATCCTCTACGTTTCGGCCAAAGCAATGCTCATCCGCAGTCAAAAGAATGTTCATACCCTGGTAAATGATTGTTTCATCAGCTTTAACTTACACCCCATAACATAAATAGTTCACAAGAAGCACCAAAATATTGCGTTTAAGTAATGAGGACACAACAACAAATCATGTGAATCAAAGCTCCTAATCAAAATATTAACCCAATTATACTTAAAATGTAAGAAATTAACCGAATCTATACTACCCAAGTTTAAAACTTTTAAAAAGAAATAAGTTTTTACAAGTCAAAATTTCAGGAAAATTGCTAAACCGCTATAACCATTAAGAAAAAAATTGACGATTACACTGAAAAAATAAAAATGTCAAAATTGAAAAAACAACATAATTAAATGAAAAAGAAGAGGAGAAAAAGGATGGGGCTTAAGGTTTAAGTGGAAACCTAACCTGATGGCGCTTGCGGGCATTGTTGGAAATGGCCGTAAGGACACCCCAAACGTCGTGATCGTAACTTGGGAGTGGCTGAGATGAGATATTGTCTGCAACTGACCTGATGAAAGCTTTGCCGCCGGTGGGCAGCTTCGCAGGTGGGGATGCGTCGTTCTGCTTAGGCTGGGAAGACGTCGGCTGTGATGCATTGCCTTTTGGGCTGGTTTCAGAGTTTTCTTCTTCCTTGGAAGCCATTGACGAAGAGGTCTGAGTGACTGAAGAAAAATTGGCGGGGATTTTGAACCCTAGCCGCTTTATTTTGTTTACTGCCTTACTGGCGGCAGGCGGGAGGCCGACTGTATCTACTGTCAATCTAGAGAAGCTTGTCTTAGAAGCTTGGGTTTTTAAAAGGTTAAATCTCCAATTTGTTCTCTGAAATATTATAGGGAATCTTTGGTCTTTAAATTAAAAAAATTTTTGGATTAATTTTTAAATTATTGTATGAATTTCTGATTTGATATAACTGTTTAATAATTTAACCCAAGTTGGCTTTTTATAAAAAAAAAAAAATTGATATGTCTCGTTATTAACATAACATGTAATCATTAAGTTATTATTTTTAGTCATTAAGTTATTATTTTTAGTCATTAAGTTATTATTTTTTATCATTAAATAATGAACACGTCAATTGTTTTTTTTCTGTATAAAAAAATAAATTTGATGTAAATTGGTAAACAATAGGTCTAAATCATGGATCTCTACAATAATTTAGGGACCAAATCAATGATTTTTTTAGTTTATGGATCAAATTAGGGTCTATACAATACTTTAAGGACCAAATTAAGGGTTTAACCTTTTTAAAATAATCCAACGTGCCCACGCGATCTGCCACCTGAGCAACACCTCTTTTTTTTTTTTTTTTTTTTTTTTTTTTTCGATTTTATATTTTCGAAAATTGAGAAGGATTACACTTTCACTTAGAAGGTGTTTAGATTAATTATTTTGAAGAGTAGTTGATAACTAGTAATTAATATTTTACAGTATAAAATTAAGATTTAAAATAAAAGTTACAATTACATATTTATGATTTCTTTTTTGATTGTCAGAAAAAAAAAAATCAGGAGGAAGACCAACATAGTACAATATTTTTTTTGATACGTCAAAGGATTGGCTTCTTTTATTTATTTATATATATATATATATATCGAAAAATTAACTATTTGACAACACAAAATTTGAATTTCTAAATTTAATATCAAATCAAAAATTTTAAATTAATAAATACCAACTCAACCAAACACTTGTTGGTGTACCAACTAAACCAAACACTTGTTGGCAGGCCAACATGGCAGACTATCAAAGAAGATGAACATTGATGGAGAACAACAGATAGCATTTATCAGAAAACTGTTGCTGAAGATGTCACTCCGAACCACATTAGGTTTCAGATTCATCAACTTTTGCTGCTATACATAATACTGTGGGTCACAATGCCAAACACCATTTTCTGTGTTTCAAAACTTCCTCATTAGAATTCAATGACTGTAACACATAAATAGATAGAATAACCTGCATCCACCATCTATCCTAAATAAAATCACCTAAATATCTTGACAAACAGGATCCACTGGAATGGAATTCGAAAACATGATGAGGAATGATTAGCCAGCCAATGGATTAGCATGTATGGTCACACGATTGATTCTTATCTCTGCAAGAGGTTTATCACCAGGTCCCGTTTGAGTCTGCATAAAACAGTAACAGTTAATTAGCCAAACAGACAAGATTCTGCAACTTAACATAGAATTTCTGCTGACAAATTTCTACAAACTGATGCTTCAATAATGGCCACATGGGAAAAAGTGCATCACGCGGAAAAATGCGTTATGCAAGTAGTGGCCACACCATGGGCTCACACAACATACCTTCTCCATCAGATCCAGAACTTCAAACCCATGGATCACTTTTCCAAACACAGTGTACAATCCATTGAGATGTGGCTGCTTTGCATAAGTTAAGAAAAATTGGCTTCCATTAGTATTAGGTCCACTATTGGCCATTGATAACATCCCCCTTGCATTGTGCTGTAAAAGAGAAAATTCCATGAAATTAGTATGCCCAGTTCTGTACCCAAATTCTGCCTATCAGAGAAAGTGTCATTTCAAATACAAGGCAAAATTTATGCCATGGTGCCCATAATGTTTATACTTGAGCTTTAAACTAATAAAAGTTTCATAGTTAGAGATGAATGATTGTTCAAAGACACTTGGGCAACCAGACAAAAGCGCATTATACTGTTTTCAGCATTAACTCATGAGGAAAAAAGCCAAGAATGGCTGACTGACTATTTGACAAACCAAGCAAAAACCAACATGATTCAAGTTTTGAAGAGAATTGGTAAAATCTGGTAACACAAATATCTCAAAAAGTGGTAAGAGATTGAGTAATGCACTGATGGTGGACCCAATGGCCAAAGTTAACTTAATCTAAACTTCTAGCAATAGCTTTGAAATACCTTCAGAGACTCTCTTATCTCATCGTTGAACTTCTTGCCCCATATACTGGTACCCCCTTTGCCTGTACCAGTTGGATCTCCACCCTGAATCATGAAACCTTTGATATTTCTGTGAAAAATAGTCCCATCATAATAACCACTAGCACACAGTGCCAAAAAGTTCTGCAACCAAATAAAACATGAGTAGTAATAACAAGTATAAACCTCGAATAGAGAAATACAGGTCCATAAAAGAACATACAAGGAGCAATCAATTAAGAAAAGGCATCAGAAATTAGCTTAAAAAGAAGTAATCACAAATTCTCAATTTTAAAGAGATCAAGCAAAGCATATTCCATAAAAGGTTTATCCAACACGCAGATGAATGTACAGAAAAACTACTAATTAAGCCTTAAAGTTAGATTCTTTCCATGTTACAACACTCTCAAACTTCATTTTCAAAAGACCCAAGACTGGAAATGCTTATGTTGTCATGTGTTGTATTCCTAAGAATTGAAACACTTCCACCGTAATCACATATGAACTTGATAGGTGTCTACAGGAGACTAACTACTAAGAAATAAGCAATACCA